CTGTATGGGAAAGCATAGCTGTTTGGAAATGTTCTGGGTTTTTTGTTTCCTTCTATTTCTTGTTCTTGCTTCTGCTATAAGGAAACCAAACAGCAAATGCAAGGCTGACAGCTGTTTCAGGCGAGCAGTCTGGCATTTTATTACCTGAATCTTATGCTATTCCTGTGGAGTTCCTTGCCACTGGATACTCTGAATTATCAAAGTTCACTGTAGTTAGTTCAAGATGAGTTTGTGAAAGAGAAGTCCCCTGAAGATTCCTAAATAGAAAGAAACTGTGTCTGGTTCAGGAAGCTCCTGAGTTGTAAATGAAAGAATTGCTGGGAGAAGTATCACATCTGGCCAGCTTTTTTGGCCCTTGTTGGAGGCAAGGCCACATAAACTTTTGTTCATACCCAGTACACCTCCTTTTAGGCTCCCATTGAGGTAAATCATTTTTTCCAGCACTTTAATACTTTTCCTGGTTCATGAATTTTGTAATCTAATCCAACTCTGTCATGAAAATATTGTGGCCTATCTTTCAAATTCTCACCAGCATAATTTTTATGTAAATCACTGGACAAAATCTTGTGTTTATGCTAAGGACTCCCCTACTGTAATAAAACTACAGTTTTACCACCCATCAAAACTGACTACAATGTACTGCAGCCCTCCGAACAATAAGCATTGCAGAAAAATAAATTTTATAGGTAAGTTAATAAGGAAAATAATCTTTTTTTCAGCAATGGTGAAAAGTGAGAAACAGTGAGTACATTTAGTTTTTTGGTAAATTGAATATATATAATTTCACCTGGCCAGATACCAAGCTGGGCTATGGTAAGTTTTCAAACTCTAAAAACCTGCAACTAGACCTGCATAAGCTGCATTTATCAGTATTGAGTCATCAACTCTGCCAATGTTTCTTAAGCTTGTAGTTAGGGAAAAGGGGAGATATTTCAGGGAGAGGCATGAACAGTTGGGATGGTGATACATGCATACATAGGTACATATACATATATATTTAAGGAGTGGGTGAACTGACTGTTGCTTAAATAAAACCCTTTGTCATTCCTAGTATTAAAAAAAGGTGTGGTAATGGTGTAAAAAAAATGTGGACCTGCATGGTTCAAATACATAATGCCCAACAGAGCTACTTGAAAACATCTCCCCTACATCACACTGATGTTGAGTTGACTGCTCCATGGCAGTCTTTTGTCTGGTAAGGCTTACTCAAGTAGTCTAAAAGCAATTGCTTGCACTTGGATTTAGAGTAAAATTCTTGCCTGCCCAGAAAATTCATCTGCCCGGAAATACCCTTTGAGTTTGTTTGGGAGGGGGGTGTTGGTTTTCTTGCCATGTGAGGGAAACCACAGATAACTAGACTGTCTATTTTGGTTCATTTCAAGTCTATTTATTGGTGTCCTTTTCCTTTATGCAGAGCTGTTTTTACAAACTTAAAAGACATTGTTGCTGATTTTCTGGTATGTTTGTTCTAGTAATTCAGCTTTTGTTTGATTAAATACAACAAATTGTCTGATCAAAATGGGTGAAGAAAATTCAAACAGATGAAACTAAATACTGCCAAAGTTTCAACTCTTTATTAACCCTTTACAATACTGATAATGAAGCAATTGTTACTGACAAACATAAAAGCAGAATCATAAACTGTACAAACATTCAGCCTCTGGTAAAAAGCAGGTATCTTCAGACCATCTTTATTGTTATAATGCATATATAAATTGACATGTTTTTACTGAGTAGCATTCATTACATAAATTTTTAGCAGAATTGCTCAAGGTACACTCCATAGAGATCTTGTTAGCTTCAGTGATTCTGGTTTTACCTGTGGTCATTTTATTCTGGTGAGATGGCACTGAATTTATCAAATTTCCCCCTCACACACACTTGGAGATAATAAAGTCAGATCATTGCACATCAAAAGTATATGATCTAGATATCATATTGCTCCATTTCATTCAGCTTTATGTACACAGCTATTTCAGTGATCTATGGCTGCGACAATCTAGTGGTGCTAGGTTATGATTATTATTACGGTATTTTTCCATAAGGGATGTTTATGTGCTAAAAGCAGAAATCACAATGTTAATTTTTGGCATGTTCTACTGCCGGCAGTTTGTCTTTCTGGAATTTGCTTTCTTCTCTCCCCTGCCCCCCACCTGAGTTGAACCATATTGCAAAGTAATACAGAAGCCAAACCATTATTCAACTTCCCAAGATAATTCTCTTCATTGTTCATTTTGGTCTATGTACAGCATTTAGAATTGTATGCCGTAGTGATCATTAGTAGCCAGTCCATTATATCAGTTGAATTTCATAAGCAGCTGAAGTTTTTTGCATGATTTTGAGATTTAAACAAAAAGATGATATCATGCCATCAATATCTGTGCACAAATAAATTGATGAGTTCCTCTACAGATAATTACTGAATTTACCTTTAGAATTACATTTACAAAAAGTGACATTTTTTGAAGTATGTTTTCTTATTTTTTATTTTGGTAAGTTTTGGTATTAAAACCCCAAAAACTTTGAGGTTGCCAGTTCTTTGTTGGTTTTTTTTTGTGAACATTGTTAAGTACACAGCTTATAAGTATTTGGATTCATTAGTGTATGCAACGTAGGATAAAGAGAAATACTTAATGCTCTACTTCTTACTCTACTACCTGGTACTTTAGAGGGCTTTACATTTTTAATTATTGTAAAAGCATTGTGATATTGGCCATGTATATTAGTAGCTGTTATAGAAAACTTTGTTTCAACATCTGTTGAGGCCACAAGGAATTTTTCCATTTTGACCAAGGGACTTTGAGACAGGTGCTTTGTGCGAAAGGGATACTAGTACCTGTGGAGTGTGGCATAATAAATACTTCGCATTTCCATTCTATTCATCTAACAAAATCGAGTTCCTCCCAGACAAATAACAGAGGTACATAGCCTTAATCTTCTTCCCCTGATGCTGCTCTGAAAAATACACATGTATTATTAGTGTTATGGATCAGGGACCCTTGGGAAATCCCAGACCTTTAATAAATTTTGGCCAGACCTCACCTTGCCATGGGAGAAGTGATTCAGATGCTTAATGGGCATTGATTGTCTTTTGAGACAACCAAGGTTATCCAGTCTAGCCTCCAGCTTTCTCTTCATAAGGAATGGGTCTTCCACAGGCCCTGTGTTGTATGTACTGATTGTATGTACAGATCCTTTAGATCTCCTGTGACATGAAATACATGAAATACATGAATCTAATGCCATTCTAAGGCACCAATACCCACCCATGATGCCTCCTCAAGTCCTACAGGAGGTCTCTAGCTGCCTAGGGCTCATAGCACTGCATCTTCCCATTCACTGAGAGAAAGCTTGCAATCCTGCTTGCACAGAAATAGCACTATTTACAAATGGCCAAACTGGAGAGGATTTATATCATGCCCTGAGACATAAGTGGCAGAACAGGAGTACCTTAGCAATGATTAGAGCTGAGCATTCAAACACTTTTCCTTAGGGAATCTGATTTTCTTTATGCTGTAATGGCCTTTGTTATTTTCCAGTAAAAACAGGTAGGTTTTTTTTTTCTCTGCAGGAAAAGCAAGGCCTTGTTAACTGGTCCAAAGAACTAAGTTTATTTTAATACTTCAGTTTTATTACCTTTAGTCCTAGGTTACCTCTACCCTAGCATAATGTTGATTTTCATTTCTAACACAGTATCTCATTTTAGTTCACTAAGGAAATACTTATCTTTCTTTGTTAAATGTTACGTCACACTATCAAACAGTGGTTGCAGAACAGCCCAGGTTTGGACTCCAGGTTTTACTGAGCAGTATTAGGCTTTAATAGGGGAAACTTGAGGAACACAGTGCCTGCTCACATTGTGCTGTGCTTTAAGTCATTCCCTTGTTTATAAAAATATACACATGCATTTCTGCCAAAGCAATAGTTACAACCCTGAAGAAACTACTGCCTACCTTGCTGGAAGGTAGTCTTGACTTTGGCTGTTGCCTATATTCAGAAGACACTTACTTTTTGTGCAGTATTAAGTGAAATGCCTAAGTGCTCACAAACTGCTGTTTCTAGAATGATGCCTGTCAAAAGCGCGTCCCCGCTCTTTGCTGATGCCGTATGACTAATGCAGAGAGGGGCAATGCCCGGCTGAGCACCTCTGCCCCTGAAGTGTGCAGACCTGGGCAAACATGGACTTTGAAGTCTGCCGTGAATACAGTCAACACGGAGGGTCAGCATGGTGTACCAGGCTGTTTGCAACAGGAATGACTGGGGGCAAAAGCTAACTTCTCCTTTCCTTTTTGCAAATTTTGTCCACGCAGACATCTTTTTGCCAGCATTCCTTAAATCTTTTATGCTGTAAATACAGTAGGGAATATAAAATGCAGCTGTGTGTGTGAGCTTAAGGACAGATTCTGCACATATTTTAGAAGGTGTATGAAGTTAATTGGTGCAGTCTGTCTTTGAGGGGCTCCTCAGCTGAGTGGAGTTTTATAGGGTCAGACACCTTCTCATGTTTGGCTTGCAGTGAAAGTAACAACAAATCAGAGAATAAGCTATTCGTATAATTTCTATGTAATTCTATACATTGCCAGAGCCATAACAGTCTTTATGCTTTTTTTCTGTTCCCTTTCCTCTCAATTCTTGAAAGTCTGTTTCCTCCCAAAATTTCCAGAGCTTGCCAAGAGCTCTCCCTCAAGGTCAGCGCATTTTCTGACTCTGCGTGTGCTCTTCCCACCTGCAAAGCACCCATGCAGGATTTGCTGAGCTGTGCTGTGCCCCCCTGGCCCCTTCATGCCCTAGTCCCCCAGCTGGCCATGCCCTTCTGCTGGTCTCCTGGCCCCGGGGGGGTCCTGACAGCCCAGGCTAGGGCAGGAGAAGGGCTGCCCATCGCTGGAGAATGAATTCCAAGGCTGGCCAGAGACGGCAAAACCGGGTCCTGTGTCAGTAATGCTTTAAAAAGTGTTTTTCCCAGGGCGCACCAGCTGAAATGCTGTGTTTGTGGTTTTCAGAGATCCCCTTAGTCTTGTACCTCTTTGCCCTGATTTCTGTCACCTGGCTGTGGGGAGGACTGCACATGGCTTACCGGCACCTCTGGATGTTAGTCTTCTTCATCATCTTCAACAGTCTGCAGGTAAGAGCTGGCACCTTTTCCTTCAGTCCTCTTGCAGAGCTGAGAGTCACCTCCACCGCTCACAACATGTTTGGCATTTCAGCTTCACCAGCTGAACAACATCCAGAAACACATTGTGACATGGTGGAAGTGTTAATTATGTATTCTGTTTATTTATGAAATTAACATATAGACTGCATATTAAAACAAGGGATGCATTGTTTTGAAACAATAGCAGTATAATTGCATAGATTTTATTTCTTAGCTAATACACTGGGAAAGAAAATTGCTTGCTTCTGTATGTAATGTGTTACAGAGATAATTATAGCAGTAAAACTGAAATCTCTGCAGCCTTTGCAAAAATTGAGTATTTCAATTTTCTGTATCTGTTAATTCTAATTAAAAAAAAAAAAAAACCAAAACAAAGACTTTCAAATTGTATAACCATAACATTGAAATTTTTTTCATTATTAGAGGTGAGCCTTGAGGCTTAGCTTTTCTCATGCAGTATACATATTGGTAAAGCAAAGGTATTTTCATTAAAAAAAATCAAATATAGACTAGACTTTGATTATTAGTTATAAAAAATGCAAATAGCCTTTTGCAGAATTTTATGCATGCAAGTGCTTCCACTGGACTCAGTACTGTATTACACTGAATTCAATGCTATGCTGGAAATTGTGGAATTGTTTACAGAATAGAGGATAGTATATCACGGATGGGAAAATGCCTGTGATGTCTGAAAACAGTGAAATGATGAGGAATTAATATATATTTATCTCTATCTCCCAATATATGGTGTGCAAGTTCCTCTGCCGTTTTTAATAACAGAAATATCTGTGTTAGCATGTATGATTTACTTATATTAAAAATCTTTACACCTCATCAAAAAAAATTAATTAGAAAGGTATATTTCAGAAAAAAGATTTATTTTAGATTTTCAAAAGATGGAAGTTTCCTTAAGCAGAAATCTAAACAATTTCACAAAGTACATCTCAGACATAAATATTTTTTTAAATTGAGGAAAAAAAAAAGTAGCTTATTCTCCTTGCAATACATTTAATTGTTCAGTACATATTGTCATTTAACTATTTTGTATATATTGGCATATATTGGCTGAAATTAGTTATGCTGTTTTTTTTCTGTGAAGTTATGTGAGTAGATTTGCTCCATTAATTGTCCGCAAGCAAATAAAATTGCTTTTTAGGAAGGCAGCTGAGCTTTTTTTGCAGTCAGACTGCCATAACTCTGCAGGACTGGCAGTAGTACCAAAGTACGTTCCCTCCCTTTTCTCTCCCCCTGCAAAATCTCAGAGTACAGGCAAACCCCCTTGGGAGTTTTAGCACTACAACTGCAACTACTGCAGCTTTATAGTGAAACTTAATGCACTGATATAGAGCACAAAAGTGTGGTGACGTGTGTGTATTTACATGTAGATAAATATTTTTATATATCCTTCCTTACTGTCTCTCTACAAAGAATTATTACTAGAATCTGATCTGGGTTTGAGTTGCATAGGTCCATCTTGGATACAAATTTTTGAAAAGGGTAATTCATTGTAATTGAGATTTTATGTCAGAGGTAAAACAGTGCCAGAGCACTGTAATATGCATGGATATTTACTTTAAAATAAAATTACTTTCTTGCAAGTGCATACTTAGAGAAGAGGGACATGAGTACTTTGTGAAAATTATCATTCTTGGCCAGAGTGTTGACCCTTCTGTGTAATTGCCAGAAGAGACTTTATATTAGTCTACTTTATATAACTTGAAATTTCATTTTATTCAAGTAAAGTTCAAAGCCATAGAATTATTGTTATTTTAATTAATGTTGCCAGTTTCAAGACACCAATTCATGCAATAGGATCAAGAAGTAAAATAGGATGTTGAAAGCCAATTCTGTAAAATATGAGACCCAGAGGGTCTGTGGGGGATTTATTGCATTAGTGGTCCAGTATGATAGCAGGTGATATGGAAAACACAGATACAAAAGCATGCCTAGAATAATGTTTAAGTCATGACTGCTATTAGAGATGCGCCACTGAATGACTCCAAAGTTAGGATTTTGTTTAGATCCAGCTAAAAGTGAGATGATACCACAAATATTTGCTTTTCTCAATCTATGTGAAATTTTTCAGTTGGTTAAATTTAATGCTTTTATGTAGTTTTGTTTCCATTCATGTACTTTAAAATCTTTGAACTTTAGGAAGTTTTTTTGGTTTGTTTTATTGGTTATTCTTTGATTGTTGACTGATCTCTTATCAGCATTACTTGTCCATACAAAAGATATATACCAATAAGGCCTGCGTAGGTAGTACACAACTCTTGTGTGCTTCTGCTGGAACATTTTTATGGGTATTACAATGGCAGAAATATTTCTACCATAATTCCATACAACTGAGAGTATACATATTTCTGTATATATTGTTTTGGTACTCAAGGACCTGACATAAATAACTTTCACTTTCAAGAGCTGTACTCGTCTGTCAGCAGTGTGGGGTCATGCACAAAGATCAAATAACTTCTATTGGCAGGCGCATTTCTAATCTTTCAGAGGCATGTCCCCAGTTGCATCTCCACCCTCAATTAGACAGCTGGGAAATATATATTCAGAAACTTTATTTTAAATCCTTCAGAGGAGCTAGAAAATGAAAAATTAAGAAACCAAATACTACAAGCTTCACCCTCTACTGGCTGGCTTGCCTTATGTCGTTATCACTGCTGTGCAACCCCGTGGCAATGCCAGACTGCCTGCGTTGCCCTTCTGCCCATAATTTATCCTTTAACTCTCTACCAACACGAGAAACTGCTTCACCAATGGATATCATCTCTTTTGTATTGGGATCAATTAATTTGGCTTCTTGCCCTAATGGTAGATCGCAATATCTGGGGAATAACTGTAGATGTCAACTGGCACGCAGAAGATACTGCAGCATCTCCACAAGAGGCAAATTTCTATGCAAATTACATCAATATTGATCTTCTACATCAAAAGGAGAAATCTGTTGGTTTTGCTATTCCTAGCCCTAGAGAATCTGTAAAATCTCAAATATATAAAATAAATGTTCGTTTATTGAAAGCAGATGCAATAATTTCAAACGTATATTCTCTTCCTGGTTAATATTTTAAATCAAAATGTGCAGGGCTGTAGCTCCAGCTCAAACAGTAGTAAATAAAAACTTTTCCTTCCAGCTATGAAGAGCTCAAGAACTTCACACTTCACATGTTAAAAACATTTTTTATCCTTTGCTGGAATTTTCAGACATAAAATGTAATAGGAGAGCATCCACTACCTTTTGTTACTAGATATTGGAAATTACTTTTTAAAGTATAAAGTTACCAAATATTTAAAAGGAAAAGATACCTTTTTAGTGGTGAGTATCCCGAGAACAGTAAAAAAAAATGGAGTAGCTCTTTCACAGTACTACAGTTTTTATATTTGTTTGTTTGTTTTAATAGGTGATTGTCTTCAGTGCTTTGTAAATCTCTACAATAAAATGAGTTTAAAAAACATTTCCTGTAACACCCCCACATTTTAAATAACAACCCCACATGTATTGTTCTCCTGTTTTAAAGTTAGCAGTTATCTAATCAGGAAACAGAAAAACTGACATGTGATTCAGGTGACCAGACATGCAGCATGAAATGAAAAACAGGGAAGGAACAAGGTGAAGCCTGTAAATTTCCTTAATCTATACTTTTCATTAAATAACCAGCTACATCCAATTGTCTTAATTAGAGAAAATGTCAATATGCAAACTGTTTGCGTAGAAGAAAATTATGTATTACAAATACTAAATACTGAATAAATTAAGATTTTGCTGTAAGCAGGTATAGCCTTATAAAGCTTTTGCAGACCACACTCCCACTAATGAGGGGCTGGTCGTGGGGAGCACACAGTCCCTGCTGAGGGACACTTCTAGTCTCCAGGCTCTGCAGAGCCAGATTCATCCGCAACAGGGGCAGCCATCTCCAGTGTCCTTTGAAGCTTTAATCTCAGCCCAGCTGTTTGGGAATGGGACAGAAAAATGGGACTTTGCAGTGGATAACACATTTTCATAATTATTTTGAGAGGAACTAGTTATCTTTTAGTGCATGCTGTTGGCATCTGATTCCCATGTGTTATGCCTTTATCAGGTCTCAGAATTGATAATGATTGTTAAAACAAGGCCATTTTCTGCAATAAAAGGCAGGTTTACCATTTATTGGTGGGTATTTCTGTTACACAACATGCCCTGTTTCAGCTGGAAAGCAATTCAGTGTTCATTCAGAGCTTTTCCCTAATAGGAAGGAGAATATGTGATAGTTTACGAGAAACAGAGACCTGCTTCCGTGGTGCTCAGGAGCTATAGACTGTGTAATGAACCAGGACGTGACCCATTAAAATGTGTTGGATATTCAAGTGGATTCAACTCAGGAGACTGGAAGGACACTACATGTTATCCAACTTAGTTGTTTAGCCTTATGACATACATTTCCTAGGAAATGCACGTGATAGAAAAAATCGTCTACTAAGGACAAATTGTTTCCGAGCGCTTCCTGCAGGAAACGGTTCCCATCAGAGACGAGTTTATAGTACGAGGTATTCTAGTGCATAGAGGGGAGTATGGGGGAACAATAGCTGATTTACAAAATAAAAAAAAAATTAGAAAAGCATGAAAGGAAAAGGATAAGCAGCATGTTTGGGATATCTGATGTTTTGAGTTCCTCAGCAGTATGCTCCTGATTATCCTACTCAGGCAGATCTGTGTGGCAGAAACATACTCCATGCTCTCATGTGAAAGGCCTTGGGTCCTCATCTTTTCACTTGCAAAACTGAGAGGAACATTTACCTCTTTTCTTTACATACGATTGCCTTCATGGATTTATTCACAAGATATTTGCTGGGGTCAGGAGTGAAAGAATAAGCTGCTGTCTTATGTGCTTGTCTCTAAAGGTTAGGATTTCACAGGCTGTTTTGCATACGTGATACTCATCTAAATGATTGCTGCGTTTTTCATGCAGTTAGGGGGTGTTTCTGGT